ATTTTGTCATTTTGTGATCCAAAAATCATTATATCCTCCTAATGGATATACCAGCAATTATTCTATAATTTTTTGTATTTGAATAAATAGAAACAAATTCTGGCATGCTTCATTCAGCGCACACACAATTAAAAATTGTTTTATTGTGGCCGGATTTCCGACGCAATATGGCGGCGGCACGCCAGTACAATATAGTGTCAATTGATGACGTCATTAGCATTTAACAGTGTACTTTGTTGTATTTCGGAACATACCCTTTATCTTTATAATTACATAAACAAAGTGTTTGTAAAATTATTGTCATGTTGAAAGATAAGTTTGAATATCTGTAGAAAATTTTACACAGTTTTTGTGAGTGCGAACGCCACCGTCAACAAAGCATGTTGTGCGATTTATTTTATGCGATTTGTTTCAAAACATTACGTATTGGATGTTTCTCAGTGCAAACGTACTGTTAGAAAGACGCTGCCGCCCATCATCCAGTTTGTTTCCCTTTGCCACGGGATGGATACAACAATTAATGAAGATTATTTCAACATATTTGTAAGATAAACTGGAATATTTTCTAAATAGATAACAAGTAAAAAAGCAAAACAAAGTATTGTTACATTATTATCATTTCTAATCTTATCTCCCTAAGACTCCTATTGATTAGAGTGACTTCATTTAATTTCTCAACAAGCTCAAGAGCCGCTATATTAATACTATGTTACAGATAAGGTCTTAAGAGGCCACTCGAGATATCTGACACTTTACGAATTAACTATTTCAAGATTTGATGTAAAAACACGATTTATTGAATTCGGATTATTCGGAAGCTGATTGTCAAATGTTGACGTTGATTTTATTAAGTTTGATTTTAAACTGGAATTGAATGGGTGCGTTTGGCAGAAAAAAGCGCTAACAAGCGCTTGTAAGCAAAATGGCGAAACTAAACAGTTTTCGACCAGGACACGTTTGCTAACTTCAGTAGCGCTGACACAATCCGCCATTTTGCTTATTTAATTTGTTTGTTTTGAAGTAGAGTTTGTAAGTTGTTTTGTGCAATATTAGTTTTAAGTAATATACATACATACATGAATAAACATATACATGTTATTAAAAATTCATGATTGGTAAGTTTTTAATATGAATACTTTACAAACATATATTTAAATTAGGTTAGGTTCCGCGGTTAAAACTAACTTCGTGTCCAAGAGGAAAATAGCTACTTACGATTTGATAGCGCTTACCGCTTACGATCGACATTTTGCTTACAAGCGCTTGCTAGCGCTTTTTTCTGCCAAACGCAGCCGATGTGTTGCAATGATTTTTCTTGTCAGCAACCTTCGCCGGCGCTAACTCAACAAAGTTTCATCGTAATCGGATAATACATAGGTAAAGGACTGCATAGGGATAAAAAAAACGAACCATTTATTTTTCTATATACTGGATGACCTTTTTATCGTCTCAAAAATATGGTATAACATGTGAACTAAGTAGAAGCCTATGACTGATTGTTTACAAAAAATAAAAAAATACACTTTGAATTAAATAAATAAAATTAATTAAAATATATCGAAATTCAAATCATATCCACCCTACTTTACGAACGGCAATAAAACAATAAATTTATTAGGCATCTTGGAACTTGTCACTTCTTAAGGTCATAGGCTCCAAGGGCAAAGGGCAAAGTAATTGTTCAAAAAATTTTTTCAAACGTTTAATTCAATTTTTTTATAAAATGTTAGTGCCATACGCTTCCACTCCGTTCATATTGTTACGAGATTAGGGTTCGTGACAATAAAAACTGCCGATTGATTTACCAAAATTTACACTTTTAACACCGAACACCAATTAAAACTTAAAACACTAATAATTAATCACACTGATTCACTTTATTTCGCTCCGAAGCTTCGCTTGTCTCGCCAAATTCAATACTGCCCCGATCGCGTATTGCAGCGTTTTTAAATACACCTTTTCACCGAAACATCCAGAATATTCAAGTAAATACGCGCGCCAACCGACCAGGCACCGAAAGTTCGAGTGTAGGGCTTCTAGAAAGCTTAGTTCTATACTAGATGGCGCTGTCGGTTGAAAGATTAGTTATGACATTTTCTGGAAAGCTCTCTCGCTCTGTTACCTGACACTAGATGGCGCTAGTGCCAGACGTCAACTTAGGCGCGCAACAATATGTTACACCCTATTTTTCCCGACGGTATAATATAATATAATATACAATATTATATTATACCGTCGGGAAAAATATATATTATATAATAAATATAATATATAAAAGTCATCCAGTATATGTATCGCGATTGTGTGTTTTTTATATCCAATTTATGTATCTAAAACGTTCAACGATACAGGAGAAGTTCCTAGTGTCTTCATCATTTACATGTATCAAAACTAGCGATCCGCCCCGACTTCGCACGCGCAATTTCTGGATCTCTTCAACAGCGCCACCTAACAGATCCGATGGTGAATCTAAACTATCAAGGGACACAAAAATTTCATCAAATTCGGTCCAGCCGGTTAGAAGTTTAGTGACAAACACACGTACAGAAGAATTATACTGGATGACTTTTGTTACCGTCTGGAAAAAAATAAGGTGTAACATGTGAACGTAGTAGAAGCCTATGGCACTGATATTTTATTAAAAATAAAAACAAAAATTTTGAATTAAACGTTTGAAATAAAATTTTACAATTATTTTGCCATTTGCCCTTGAGCCTATGACCCTACGAAGTAACAAGGTCAAAGATGCCTGCTAAATTCATTGTTTTACTGCCGTTCGTAAAGTAGGGTGGATGTGATTTTAATTTCGATAGATTTTAATTAATTTTATTTATTTAATTCAAAATGTTTGTTTTTATTTTTTGTAAAATATCAATGCTTCTACTCCGTTCACATGTTACACCCTATTTTTTCCAGACGGTAAAAAGGTCATCCAGTATTGATGACCTTACAAATACCATCTTTACGGGATTGAAGCGCGCGGCTCGCAGTTAAACGCCTAGCCACTGCGCTAGCGAGTCGTAAAAAAATGGTAAATGTCAAAAAGACATTATGACCACTGATATATGATTTCGTAAGCGCTAGATGCGTAATTTCCAGTTTGGGGACAGAGAGCGGCGAGAAATTAGCGAGAATAGACAAAATGAATGGGAGTGACCATCTCAACATTGAGTCGCGTGTCGTGACTATCACGTGATTTAACTTTCATTTCATTAATTTAACTATACAGTTTCCTATAGACGATAACGATTGTAGAAAGCTGCCCCGTTGTTGCAGCGATCGTCAATCCTACTGCTTAACTTGGCGATTACGTGAAATCCTAATAAAGTGAAAAAAGCTCTTATCTAGCAGTTAACTGTCACGACTAATTTTTTTTATAATATAAGGGTGACATAAGAGCACTCAGTCTACATGATGGTAAGTGGATGCTGTGGTCCATAGACATCTACATCTACCCTGGATTAATGATCAAAATGCAGATGCGTTGTCACCACTAAGGACTAAGATGAAATGCCTCGTTTCCAGTAAAAGTGGCCTTTTCTTTACAACCACCACACTAAACATTACGATGAGCTGCTATTTCACTTTAATATTCTGTGAAAGTCTAGCTCTTCTGCTGCTAGTAGTTAAAAAGCATTACAACACTTTTTTATAAACAATTTTTATCTATATTCATTGATCATGATGAAATATATATATATATAATATTCATAGGGTGTTTATCAAAGAGTAGCCAAATTTTAAACTTATAATCATATAATGATATACCGTGATTGCAGTTTTTGAAAATACTAGTAAATAAGGCTTTTATTTGAAATTATCCCAAATTGAATGTGATTTATGGGCAACAGTGTTTTTGCGTACCGATCAATCCTTACGAATGTATATGCGTGCGCAGTAAAATCAGTTAAAATAATGCATTACCACGCATTTTGAATTTAAAAGATAAAAAGGACAGAATTTTTGAGATTTTTTTAAATTAATTTTTCTTCACCATTTGCCTATATTACTTATTGTTAACCTTCCCAGCAACCTCTTTGCAAATTTGGCCGGTTATTGCAAAATAACCCTGTATATCTTTCATCATCATCACTACAATGTAGGACACCATTTCTGGCTAGGAGTCGGTCTGCGTAGGTGCCATCCTCTCACCTATTTTGCCATCAAGCTGTCTGAAAGGTAGAAAGAACCAGTATCATTACAGGCTGTGAGGCATTTCATATTCGTTTTTTTATAGGATATGGATGACAAGCGAGCACACAGTCTACCTGATGGTAAGTGGTTGCTGTGGCCCATAAACATTTACCATCTATCCTCGGTTGCAAATCAAAATACAGATGCGTTGTCGTCCGTGAGGAGTAAGATTAAATGCCCCTTTTCCAGTAAAAATGGTCTCCGGTTTTCTACACTCACCATACGAAACTCAGCAGCATTAAGCTGTTATTTTACGCAGGTATTCAGTGAGAGCGTGGTCCTTCTCTGGCCGAAGTTGATATAATTAGTCCACAGAGGTGACAATACATCTATAGTCTTCTTTATTTGTAATAGACCTCACTCCCAAACAAGCCGGTTTCCGAAAAGGCTATAGCACCATAGACCACATACATACCCTTCGGCAAATTGTACAAAAGTCCGAAGGTACAATCTGTCAATTTGTCTTACGTATGTGGACTATAAGAAAGCCTTTGATTCCGTCGAAATTTGGGCGGTGCTGCAGTCCTTCCAGCGGTGCCAAGTGGACTGTCAGTATATCAAAGTGCGAAATGTTTGTACAGTAGGGCTACGCTAACCGAGTACAGAACCAGAGTTCGAAACCTATCCAACTGCAAAGTGGTGTAAGTCAGGGTGACGTAATATCTCCGAAACTCTTCAACGCTGCATTGGAAGACAAAGAAGTTGTAGTTGGTTGCAGGTATCCATAGACTGCAACAGCCACTTGCCATCAGGTGAGCTGTAAGATCGTTTGTCACTGCAACTTTATTAAAAAAAAAAACACTCACCAGCTAACGCCGAGCAGTTATCGCCAGTGAACGCGACAACCTTGCAGTCCGATTTAAACCCATACCGCTGCACAAAGTATGGGGATATATTGCCTAATATTGTGGAAGTAGCCACCGGAGTTCCCAGTTTACTTTCCAAGGTCTCATCACCGCACGCCTACGGAAACAGTAAGATTAATTATACAATCTGTGTGTATCATTGTGATGTGTTTTCACTTATTTGATAAGGCACTACTACTGTTGTATTTTTACCTGTGTCAAGTATTATACAACATGTAACAAAAACCTCGTGGTTCCCGTTAAATGCGTTATCAGAATCAGTATTCAAGCTTAAATCAATAATTTTTTTTGTCAAAAACACACATTTAAAAAAAATAATTTTAAAGAAAAAAAATTAATTTGCAAATTGTATGTGGTTTTTAATCCTCTAACTCACACGAGTATCGGTAATGCGGAGTCTTTGACAATCCTCTTACTCCTCGGCTAATGCAGAGACAATAAAAATATACAATTGGCAAATTTTTTTTCATTAAAATTAATTTTTTTAAATGTTTTTTTTTTAATTCTATATGCTTGGATACTGATTCTGATAACGCACTTAACGGAAACCACAGGGCTTTTGTTACATGTTGTATATTATTGTTAATAATTTGTAGGCAGTTTGAGCCAGCAGATAGTCCATGACGAATCTCAATGCGTCTAAGACACATTCTCTTGGGGTTTTTTCCACTAATACTTCACATGCACCGACATTTAATACACAAAACCATACAAGTTTTACCGAATACTAATGAACGGTATGGCAGCGCACAAAATACGAACAAACAAATATTAATTTTTATATATTAGATATCTTTAATTAGAAAAAGTAGAAAAGGTTTTACTCTTATTACCTTTAAAGCCTCTTCACACCACTTCTTGGTATGTATGTTAAGGAGATTCATTCCAGACCCATCAGAAAGATCAATAGGTGCAATTCGACCAAGGAACAACGAGCAAGCAAAGGATGAGACAAGTGATATCCTTTCAGTGGCCTGGTAAGCCCTCGGCTTGGTGCGAAACATCTTCCGGATTTGTGGACCCGTGAAGCGTTCATATGCTCTGGAACCTGTGATCTTGGCTAGCTCCTGATAAAAACAAGACCAGAATTTAGGTACCCACATTTATTCTCATTTAAAGTCATAATGTTACCCTGAGTACTGAGATGAAATGCCTTATTACTATTAAAAAGTATTACGGTTTCTCAATGATAATCATACAAAACAAATCAGAACATCAACAAAAAGAAGCATAATGCTTCTTTTTGTTAATGATGAATGCCGATTTTTTTATTATCGAATAAGGGTGACAAACAAGCACACAGTCCACATGATGGTAAGTGAATGCTGTGGCCCATAGACATCTACATTTATCCTCGATTAAGAATCAAAACGCAGATGTCTTGTCGCTACTGAGGACTAAGATGGAATGCCTCATATCCAGTAAAAAGGGTCTCTGGTAGTCTACACTCACCATAAAAACAGCAGCATTAAGCTGCTAATTTACGTTGACATTCTGTGACAGCGTGGTCATTCCCCCGTCCTGCACGCCGCCGGTCTGAGTATTTTCTGTATGACGTACACCAGATAGATATACCGCCCTCTCTAAAAAATATAATGGCGGCTGTACACGCTCGTCTCATTGCCTCGCGTGTCTTTCGTCGCGTATAGGATCGACACGAGAACACACACGTACACACTCGTTGTATCATTTGAACTCCGTATGCCCGCTGAGATGAACTTAGATGAAACTGTTGCTGCGTTTTGCCTTTGTGCTATTAGTTATTATTACCCATACGGATAAAGAATGGGATTATAATATGGCGGCACATAGAGCCCGTACCGTGAACATGTACAGCACCAATAGCCAAAACTTGCTAATAACCATATATTGCTATAACATTATATTATTCCGTTAATTGGAAATTTTATATAAATGAAAAAATATTTGAAAACACTGTACACGCAAGCAGCTACATTAATTTAAAATTAAATTTATAACTAGCGACCCACTCTGACTTTGCCTGGAAATAATGTCGCAATAATTAGACTTAAGATAATCATTAAAGTCCATTTATTTTATTTTATCAATATTTCTATTTTAATAAAATCTCTAAATTGTTTTGATAAAATTTAGTCTAGATCACTTCCATTTTTTCGTGAAGTTTTATTGCAGCATTTAGCCATTCCGAAAATTAGCTTGGACAAACAGACAAACCAAGGTTTTAAGTTAAAGTTATGTATTTAAAATTACTTATTTCTCAATGGAAAAAATTAATTTAAATATTATTAAATTATGAAGAAAACTCAGAACGCGTAGTAACTCACAAATTAGCAAAACTGGACAGATTTTTTGTGGTTTATAGCATTTTGTTATTATTAATTCCAATAACAAGTTGCACTGAAGTTAGAACATACGAAAAACACATATTGCAACAATTTTTTTTTATTCAGTCGTTACCGGCGGGTGTGAGTATAGATAGCGACAGTGTGCGAGCGAGAGGTGAATAAAGGCGCCGCCATTTTCAATCCCATTCTTTAACCGTATGGGTGGTAAATTTTTTTACACATTTACCATAAAAAGAAAATTAATAAACTATGGCGAAGAAGAAGATGGTTTCTATTTACCGTAACAGAACCTTGTATGGTGAATAGAATACGAGACCCTTTGACTCGGGTGCAAAAAACTTGACAACATTTACCTCTGGTCCTCCAACAGCTTCCTCAAGTGCCCTGCAGTCTGCACTTGTGCTTGAGTCCATCCAGACTGGTGAGTCCGTAACAAAACCCATCGCTAACTGAGTGTGAAGGAATTCATCAGGCGATAGGTTACCAAGCCTTGACTCCGAGCCCTTTGCCCACCAGACTGAACCATGTTGCTATATAAATAAAAAATTATCTTAGAGAACAAGGTTATAAACAAATTACATAGTTATCATGTGCAAAAATTCATTTCTACATATGACTGTTTTTTTTTATAATTACTAAAGCTGTAGTAGCTCAGGGGCAAGGCACTTGCTGTAAATTCCACTGTATGTGAAGTCTTCGGATTCGATACCTGCCGGCACCACATGCTCGGCAGTGAAAGAAAACATTGGAAACTTACATTTTTTAGATACTTATGGATATGAAAATCTAACTCAAGTCCACCTCATGGCAAGTGCCTAATGCAGCTCATATACACCTACAACCAACTTAAACTCATGAACTCCATCGACACACACTGGCTGCCAAGCTGTCCAGCTGTGGAATGTATATAGGCTAAAATGACTTATATACCCTTAAATAAATTAATAATATATTTATATAATTAAAAATAATGTAATAAATTAAAATAATATTTTGGTATGTGAAATGTGACAGTATTTAACATTTAATAAATATATTTGGTATGGTGAACATTCAGTTTATCAAGAGTGGTTATTTCAAACCCTTATCTTTAAGAGGGATTCCTTTGTGCGTAGCAATGCACTCACTATGGGTTCAAGAAAATATAATGTAATATATATAAATGAAAATACAATACCTGTGCAGCACCAGAAAGTGCTTCAATGGTGGCAAAATCAACACCAGCGACAATTAGTTTGTCCATGACCATGTCAAGAGCCTTTACCCACAATAGTGGTGGTGCTGTCACCTCACCACGTTCTCCACGCACCACCCCACCAAATGTCCTGAAATACATAATGACATTCCGACTGAACATTGTAATTTTATAGAAATTTAAATTTACATTCAACTGTCTAATTAAGAAATGATTTCTTATATTTACATGAATACTTGACATTGACATACAGGTAAGGCAGCTGGATATGATAGAGTATCACTCGAGATGCTAAGGGCTGGAGAGGGAGTGGTGGCAGGCCTGCTGTACACCTTGTTTAATTTATGTTGGGAAGTAAAACGGGTACAGGATGACTGGTGTAAAGCAGTTATAGTACCAATATATAAAGGAAAAGGGTCACAGCAGGACTGCAAAAACTACCGTGGTATCAGCTTGCTTACTATAGTGGGTAAACTGTATGCTAAGGTGTTAATTGAAGAGTTATGAAAGAAACTGATGGAAAAATTTGGGATGTGCAAGTGGGTTTTAGAAAGGGAATGGGGTGTACAGATCAAGTCTTTTCCATGCGCATTATTGCGGTGAAGTTTTCGGCCAAAAACCAGAAAGTTTTTTGTGCATTCATGGACTTGGAAAAGGCTTATGACAAAGTGGACAGGAATGTGTTATGGCAAACACTGAACTCATATGGGTTGAGTGCTGGTTTGATACAGGGATTAAGGTCTCTTTATAGGGACTCTAGTGCTTGTGTCAGGATCAATGGGGTCTGCTCGGACTGGTTAGGCATCCAAAAAGGTGTAAGACAGGGCTGTGTAGCTTCTCCTTGGCTGTTCAACCTATTTATGAACAGGTGTTTGCAAACTTTGAAAGATGAAGAATGTGGGTTAAGAATGGGCAAGTTAAGCATCAAATGCGTTTTGTATGCCGATGATCAAGTCATATTTGCGTCATCGGCGGCTGAGTTGCATTTGATGGTTACATTAATGAACTGGGCATTAAAAGAAAGGGAAATGAAAGTGAACGCAAGTAAGACGAAAGTGATGGTTTTTGAAAGAGAAGAAAGCAAAACGGTATGTGAAATAAGAATAGAAGGAGAGTTAATTGAGCAAGTGGATGAGTTTGTGTATTTGGGATGTGTATTTAGCAGGGAAGGTAGATATGATAAGGATATAGAACGACGAGTAAATGCAGGGAATAGAGTGAATGGGGCACTACACTCTATTATGAAGAACCAGAATGTGTCAAAAAAGGCACGTATGGTAATTCATATTGCTGTGTTAGTCCCTACTTTAATGTATGGTAGTGAAAGCTGGGTGTGGCAGAAGAAGCACGAAAGTAGAATAAATGCTGTAGAAATGCGGTCTTTAAGGAGTATGCTAGGGTTGAATCTGAATGACAGGGTGAGAAATTGCATGATAAGAGATAAATGTGGTATGCAAGATGATGTTGTGACCAGGATTAAGAAAGGAATGCTTTGGTGGTTTAGTCATGTAGAAAGAATGAATGAGGAAAGAGTGACAAAGCAAATTTATATGGCAGATGTGAACGGCAGAGTCGGGAAGGGACGCACTAGAAAAAAGTTTATCGACCAAATTGACGATATTTTGAAAATGGGCCACGTTAGAAGTAGCCTTAACGGACGAGCATGTATACGTAGATATATGGATGTAAAGGAGGCGAAAGAGGTATGTCAGGATCATGCCAAATGGAAGTCTGTAGTCTCTGCCTACCCCTCTGGGTTACAGGCGTGAGTGTTTATGTATTATGTACTAGACATTGAATAAAACTAATTAAATTTTTTCAACTTTTGAATATTATTAGATTGAAATTATTCCAATTCCAAATTTTTGGTTCTTTCTACTTACTTACTTTTTGATTAAGTTAAAGTAAGTTAACCAAGTTAAAATAAACACAATAAAATCTGTAAAATTTGTTTTACTCAAGGTCATTACATAGCCTCACACCCTTGACATCACTCCGTCTCCAATCTTGTGGGTTCACATCTGGTATAAACAACATATTATGCTATTTATCAAAGAGAATGAGATCTTTCTGGCATTTACTGTCACCTGATATGACTCTCACGACAACATCCAAGGGAAGAATGGGGGCACTGCATTCTTTTACACCAATACAGTGGGTTGCCAAATTATTAGGGACAGTCAATTTTTTTCTTGTTTTCTAACTTTGGATGCACTTGACTACAGTTCAAGTGGTTAGAGTGGAGATGAAATTTATTATATCGTTTTACTTGCTTCTTTCCCTAACATAATAAGTAGACTTTGAGATTTATGGGGTTTGTTTTTATATTGTAAACATTTTTGAATAGCGTGCGAGCCTCATTATGCTTAAGACGCGATAGAGTGAAAGACGGATTTGAGGATTTCAAACAAAGTAAATTTTATATTTGTGCTTTTAAATTGTGTCAAAATGTAAGTACTATTATAATTTATTATTATATAAATATTTTTGTTGAATAATTTTGATAATTTTATTTTATTTTATAATATTTATTTCGTTTTCCAGCATGGGTAAGGGGTGTGATTTGTCTCCTAGGAAAAAATCTGAAATTAAAACACTTCTCGAGCACACCACTCACTCCCAAAGGAAGATAGCAGATATTGCTGGTGTTTCCAAGTCGGTAGTTAATAGAATAAAAATTAATTTGGACAAAAAGCAGCCCCTGTCGCCTAAGAGAAAAGGCAACAGTGGGAGAAAGCGCGTCACAACACCACGTTCAGATAGAAAAATTAGGGATATCTGTCTACAAAACCGAAAAAAAAGTGCTAGCCTGTTAACTCAATTAGTCCAAGAATCTGGAATATCAGTTTCCAAGAGAACTGTGCAACGCAGGTTGGCAGAAGAAGGATTAACAGGCCATCGTCCTGTAAAAAAACCTCGCTTGACTGAAGCAATGAAAAAAAAAGCGACTGGCTTGGGCTCGGCAACATCGACAAATGACAATTGAGGACTGGAATAAGGTCAGTTTACCTTATTTCTGTTGTTTTTTCCTATTTGCCATTATATTCGATAACATTATTCAACATTTCTATTTTTTTTCAGGTGTGTTTCTCCGATGAATCAACTTTTGAAATTTTGGCCGACAAAAGTAGCTTCGTCAGACGGCGCCCAGGTGAAAAATATCACCCCGACTGTATCGTGGAGAGGGTAAAACACCCTGTCAAAATAATGGTGTGGTCAGTCATAAGTGCCAAGGGTTTTGGACGGCTCTACGTTGTCCAGGGGACCATGAGACAACACCAATATAAAGAAGTGTTACGAAATCGATTGTTGCCAACACTCAGGGAATGGTTCCCTGATGGTGAGAACTTCACCTTTATGCATGATTCTGCACCCTGCCACAAAGCAAGAAGTGTCACCAAGTTTCTAGAAGAGAATAACATTCCAGTCTTACCTTGGCCTGGCAATTCTCCTGATATTAACCCCATAGAAAATCTTTGGGAGATCACTAAAGCAGAAATTGCCAAAGAAATGATAACCACCAAGGTAAGACTTATTGAAAGGCTAATAGAGGTTTGGCATCACAATCCTAGAATAAAAGAAAGCGCTAAAAAATGCATAGAAAGTATGCCCAGACGCATAGAAGCACTAATTGCAGTCAAAGGAAATGTTACAAAATATTGACCAGTAAAATTCGACAACATCTTGTACTTATTTAATTTAATTTTAATTATTTTTAATTACTTTATAATATTTCTTATTACTTTTATGACATTATAGGATATTGTCCTAATTATTAAAAACGTAGTTAGATTAAGAAGCCTTTGTTTTATTCATTAAATTTAGCCAAATACTTGACAAATGCATTTTTTTCAACTGTCCCTAATAATTTGGCAACCCACTGTATATACAAATTCTATTACATAATTATATATTTCGAATTGAATAAAATTACCTGAATTCGGGCAATTCATTATCAAATTCCACATCTGCTTCTTGCTTAACAACATAATCTTCACCAATGACCACAGCTTTTAACTTGAAATAAAGTTTTTAATATATATAAGTAACATGTTCATATAATGAAAGTAAATGACTAATAAATACATTTTGAAAGTAGAGAGAGAGGAAAAGTTACCTACTTGATTATTTTGATAAGTTTTACTGTTATGCCGTGATGTTATGTGAAAACAATTCTAGCGGACTAGGTACGATAGATAAAATTGAAATAAAAATAAATATTGAAATGTTTATTCATAACTTTTCATTTATGTAGTTAAGAAACCTAAGTTATTCAAAAGTTTTCAATTCAATCTTAATGATTTTGCAAAAATGTGCAACTTATTGTTTAAAATAGGAATGAAAATTAAAACGACAAATTTTAATGAAATGAGAAAATTATGCATATATCACCTAAGTTGGAAGCGTTTATAAAATAACTTTCATACATACATACCCTTTGTGTACTAAAATCAAATCCTAAAAAAGTTTTTTTTCGAGTTTCTTCAATCATTGTGATTTTGACAGCGCCGACGGATGACACAGTGTGTTCGTTTAGGAATGGAAGACGTTTCGTGACTAAACTAAATATTGTATTTTAGATGAATGTTTATTAGCGCGATTTCACGATATCGTTCACATTTTTTATTACATTCTTTCAGAAAATTAATCATTTTAATTGAACGTTACACAAACGGTTGATAAATAAGCGATATCAAGGTCTCGGTTATCAGTTATAAAGATAGTAGTTATTACGGTCGTCACATTATTTTACCCATAATAGACACACCTTTCAGCCAATACACGTAGGTATTAAATACAGCCTAAGGGCACAGTTGTTACAACGCGCTCACCGTTATTGCGGGGTCCCAGATTCACAGTCTGCCTACACGACATTTAACAGTATTTATTTGAATCGGTGTAACTGCTTTATTCAATTTCATTGTACCATGTTGGTACCTATTTAATTTAATTTCTGGGCTTAATAGCTAAAACCACCGGGTGTAAAAGATGCTCACAGCGCTTTTTCCTTAGAGCATTTATAAGCAAGTTTATACTCTAAGGTTTTTTCTCCATCCCTCTCTCTCTGGTGCTTAAATCACAAAACAAAAAAAAATATTCTCAACTGGAACCGAAATTATTTGATAAGAGATTATCACATACACGACGTCGTGTCTCCGACACTGCATCCGAATCAGAACCTCACCTTATTCACTTGATCTTATGATAAGGTGACGATAAGTGGCTTTATGTCAACTCGAATAGTATAGCGCGATTTTGATGGACTTGCTCTTAAATTGAATGGGACTATATTTTACTGATTTTACTGCATTTATTTTATTTTTTATATTTTCAAATTCCCAACGCAATAAAATCTGAAAAGATTAGTTTAATTCAATGTACGAATATAGACTTCGATAACACATAAGAAACTATTAAAATAATATTATTTGACTCAAATACTTTTGTAGATGATCAATAAAAATCTGAAGGTTTATTAATTAACCAAGTGCACATTAATAAGTACACTTTTGATGCACAGAGAGCCAATTATAGTGCGCTCAAGAATGCGCACATATTATTCTTTGCAGAAATCGCACCGATATACTTCAATATTCATATATCACCCACTTAACTTAACTCAATTTAAACCGACTTCAAAAAAGGAGGAGGTTCTGAATTCGACTGAATTTTTTCTCAGAACTTTTTTCTAGATGAACCGATTTTGATGATTCTTTTTTATTAGAAAAAGCACCACTTTTCGTGTGGTTTCGTATAAATTTGATCAAGATGTGACCAGTAATTTTTGAGTTTTCCTTAACAATGCATATTTAATTGACTTCGACTACATGGATAATGTACTCATTTTATTTATATTGAAATCGGTTGTACAATTTTTTTTTTAATTTTACCACTTGTTTTACAGAATAAGGGTGACACGCGAGCCCACCTGATGGTAACAACGTTAAAAACTTCAGTCTGAACATTACTCAGGTTTGCTGTAAATCACCTGAAACGTCGTCGGAGATTAATTAATACTTTACATGTAATTTTTATGGTATAATGGTGACAAACGACAATCGTGCTACAACCATATTTTATCTGCAGCGCGGCGGATAAAAAATAATTAAGTATATACAAAGCTACCACGTAAAAATAATTTTTGTGTTTTAGTCACTTAATTATTTTGGTGAAAGTAAGTAAGTAAGTACTTACCGTGTTTAGTGACGGTGTAAGAATATCCACTACTCCATATAATCATGTGGGTGTCGTAACAGGCGACAGAGGGAAGCAAATCAGGATATGGGCAGCAACGTCTTCCTAATAGTGGGTGCGTTTGGCAGAAAAAAGCGCTAGCAAGCGCTTGTAAGCGCTGAAATAGTTTTCGGCCAGGACACGATTGCTACTTCAGTAGCGCTGACACAATCCGCCATTTTGCTTATTTAATTTGTTTGTTTTGAAGTAGAGTTTATAAGTTGTTTTGTGCAATATTAGTTTTAAGTAATATAATGACATGAATAAATATATATATGTTATTAAAAATTGATGATTGGTAAGTTTTTAATATGAATACTTTACAAACATATATTTAAATAAGGTTAGGTTATCCGGTTAAAACTAATATCGTGTCCTGGAGGAAAATAGCTACTTACGATTTGACAGCGCTTACTGCTTACGATCGCCATTTTGCTTACAAGCGCTTACTAGCGCTTTTTTCTGCCAAACGCACCCAATGACTAAAAATAAAACTGACCAAGTGCGTGTCGGTCACGCACATTGTAGAGGCAGGACATGGAGCCCTGCCTCTACAATGTGCGTGACCTTTCACGTTTCACGTCACAATACGTGAACTTAGAAGGGGTTTTCTTGATAATGAGCATGTTAAGTGAGTTCGTGGTTTGAATGCTATAACGACTAAAAATGGGCCCAAATAGAACGATGGTAACTACTCCATTCTCTCTCTATCTCTATTCTACTTATATTCCAATAAATCTTATATGCAGTGGCATTCAAAAAGATTTAAAACTTTTCGATTTTGAAAATAATACAATCTACATCAAATTATTCACAATGCCAAGTCCGTACAAAGATGGCCATAGTTGACTATCTATCTATATATTCCTGGCAGTGCAACCTTAAGATATAATACGACCGTAACGAATCTTCCCGTAAAGCACCACTGCGCTAAACTATCCTGAGGATCGTCCGCGTAAACCAAGAGTACCACGAATGAAAATGTATGAGTCTGTATGATTGTACGAATAATTTGAATGAAGCTTACAATAACTATCAACTAAAAAATAAGCGTAAGTAGTGCCTAAGTAAGAAAGTTCCTCCCTGCCTATCCCGCAAAGGAAAAAGTTACTCGTATAGTAGTAATGTATATAAGTCGTTTTCTTCATAAAATGTTTATTTCTTACAGTTTACATTACCATTACAAAGCAAGTACAAGTTATAATGCAGCTAGTTTTAAGTAATTTTCTATAGAGTTGTAACGAAATTTTTATTGATCCAAGGGAATTTATAAGATGGTCATTTATTAGTCGTTCTTGTTAAATGTACTTAATTGTGTTAGTTTTACTTTTAACTTTATTATATATACTACTATTGTGAATACCTTTTACATTTCCAAAAACAGCGGTTTACTTGGTAAAGGGGGGGGGGCACATGAAATCTAATGAAAAATGTTACTTTAGAGCTAAATATTTCGTATACCTATATATATATATATATATATATATATATATATATATATATATATATATATTTTATAATGAATACAAAACATGTTGTCCCATACCGTGTTTTTGAAAGACCTATCCAACGATACCACACACCTTTGTTGGTATTGTTGATCGAAGCCCCACACTTTGGAATAGACGGGTAAAAAAAAATCAGCCTCCTCCTACCTGTATGGGAGGTATCCAAAATATTTTATGATGATTTTATTTCACAGTTTTGTAGGCGTGATTAATACTTATAACTATGCCAAATTACATATTTGTAGCACCTAGAGTCTCTGAGTAAAACAGCGGTCGGACGGACGGATGGAGATGACGAAATTATAAGGGTTCCTTGTTGTTTAACTACGAAAGCCTAAAAACTGCGGTTGCCAACACGCTAAATATCCCCCCTATGAGGCAATATATGGGGAGGCCTATGTTCAGCAGTGAATTTTAATAGGATGTAACGGTAAAGGTAAGTACTCGTAAGTAGGTACTTAAATCTACTTATCCAACTGCTTACACTGTTATACATACCTATGTATATAAATGAATATGCATCGGTAAAATAGTCAAAATCAAAAACAGGTAAAATAGTTGAAACTCTGAATTTCCGTGTTAGATGAACTACCTACATACATAATTAAATTTATTCGGAACCCTCAGAGCGTAAGCCCCACTCCGGTTTTTAATTAATGCCTATGGAATATTTCCTAGCGTTGCACTGTATTTATCTAGAGCGTAACTTTTGTGACTTTTGGCCATTTATTTAATAATTAATGAAGTTAAGTGTTAAACTGTTCGTGGCCTAAAGGGCGAATAATATCCCACGGCGCCGGCCATTTTTAAGTATTCGGGTTACTTAGTTCAGTGACCTTTAAAACGCGTCACCGTGACATATCATGGCTTATTAGGCACATTGTTGTTAGTAGTTCAGTGCTTAGTCAGTTTTAATTAAATATATTGGCTATTTGCAATAAAATAATGAACTTTTATCAAATTTTTGTTATACCTAACTTTTAAGAGAGATAACTTTATGGGATAAAAACCACTGAACTCTATATATGTACTTGTATACAATTTATAACGTAATTAACGCACACCCTCATACACCCCAATTAGTATATTATGTTGTAATCATAATACATACACTGAATTTTTAGTTAAACATTTTTATGCACCGATTATTTATCAAATTAGTTATACTAATTCCGGAAGAATTTTGTGGACTTTAACGTCCTTGAAATAAAGTTCATTTTTCTTTATTTTTATTGAATGACAGAATTAGTAATAATACAAATAAAACTGCACTCTTAAAAGTCTTATTGCCTTAAGTTACGGTCCATTTCAGTTTGTTTTGACTGTACAGATTTAGTGTGACTGGAATTTACGTAGTTTTAATTATTTTTGGGATAAAAAATTTCCTATATTAAAAATGATAGGAATCGATTCAGTAAACGATTCTGAGCAAACTACTTTCTCAAATTGCGTTAATTATGTTACATGTTGTATAGAGGTCAGTGGATATAAACTCTTTTGCAAAGTAAAACGGGCACCTATGATTTCAGACTGCATTAACATTTATTACATACTTTGAAAGCTTTTTATTTATTTATTTACACTTTATTATATACCTTAATAAAAAAAATTACAAAGGGCGAACTGTCATCCTCTCCCACTCAACCTAGGACGTGTGAAAAATAATGTGATAGGTGCCAAAAACGAAATGACCATTTTAGCAGAATAAATAATAGTACAAGAAATTTTAGTAAATCAGAAAAACAAGTAC